GGAGGGAGGGAGGAGCGGAGGGCCTGGCCAGGGTCCCTGGATCCCATTCAAGGGCTCTGATGGCCTCACTTCCTCCTACTTCCTAAAGGGTCACCTCGCAGCAGCATCACCCAGGGACCAAGCCTTCCACACATGGGCCTTGGGGGATGTTCAAGATCCAGACTAAGGCCCTGGGCAGACAGGAAGTACTGATCTTTACCTTTTACCTCAGTGTTCAGACTGAAAGACAAAATCCAGCAGGTGCGACTCCTTCATCCATCGTCACTGACACCTGTCCTTTCTCTGCCCCCACCCATCTTCTCACAGGCAGCCCTCCGCTCTTTCCTTTCCCAGCCACGGCACTTGAGATAGGAAGCTTCATCTGACGTGGCTGCTGCCTGCTGCCTGATCAGGTACCTGGGGTACTTGGAGGGTATCTTGTCTCCCAGTGGTAACGTCGACAGTCCCTTCACATCAGCAAGGGAGAGGATGGTCTGGTGGAGAAAAGCAGGCAGAGGAGAGGAAGGGTGGTAGGTGCTTCATGGCTGGCTTCCTGCTCTGTGGCCAGTGGCTGTCCAGCAAACCTCGTTCCGACTTCTCACAGCAGCTGGGCTTCAGCTCTTCGAGGCAGAAAAGGGGCTGGTGTGAGGCACAAGGGCCCACTGTGGCTCTCGGCACCACAGCCACTCTGAGGAAGGAACCAGGAGCAGCATTCCTGAGGGGCATGCATGAATCCAGAACAATGGAGAATAACTGACAGGGAAAGAATAGTTCAAGAGCCCACGATTTAGAGCCAGAATGCTGGAGAAATTGTACAGTCCTCTTTAATTTCAGTGTGACAGAGTTGAGTCTAGAGAGACTGAATACTTAGCCCACAGTGTGCAGACGGTCCTCTGGCCTGCACACTGGGGATGAGGAGTGTGGCCTTGTCCATTGGAAAGAACGGGCTTCCTCCTGAGTGGCAGCTGAGATCCTGGCTCATCTTCCTCTTTCCCACTCTTGCTCATTCCCTGTTGCTGTGGGATAGAGTACTTAACCTCATTTCCTAATACAAAAGGAAGCTTTGTCCAATATAAAGATCCAAGAGAACCTGGCTCTGAGGTCAAAATTGAGTTTCTAGTCATTAGCCAGCTGTCTTGTGTTCAACCTTGAAGGTTTACCAAACATAAAACTTGCCCTGTGAAGTGACCCAATGAGGGAATCTTAATAATTCTTGAATTCCTAACTTGTTGGTGACAAGCAGATTTCATTCTTAACTGACTGACTTTAAAATGTTAATTTATCTCAGTCTTATAGTTTTTATGGACTACATATGAAATACATTAGCTTTTTTTCTTTAATTGTTCTAGTTAGTTGTACATGACAGTAGAATGTACTGACACATCATGCATAAATGGAGTATAAATTCCCATTCTTCTAGTTGTACATGATGTAGAATCACATCAGTAGTGTATTCATAGATGTATGCACATAAGGTAATAATGTCAGATTCATTCTACCATCTTTCCTACCTCCATACCTCTCCCCTCCCTTCACTCCCCTCTATCTAACCCAAAGTAACTCTATTCTTCACTAGCCATGTGAATTAGCATCAGAGAAAACATTTGGCTTTTGGTTTTTTGGAACTGAATTATTTTGCTTAGCATAATATTCTCCAGTACCTTCCATTTACTGGCAAATGCCATAATTTAATTGTCCTTTAAGGCTGAGTAATATTCCATTGTGTATAATACCACATTTTCTTTATCTTTTCTTCTGTTGAAGGATACCTAAGTTGGTTCCATAGTTTGGCTATTGTGAATGGAGCTATTATAAACATTGAAATGGCTGTATCACTGTAATATGCTGATTTTATGTCCTTTGGGTATAAACTGAGGAGTGGGATAGCTGAATCAAATGGGGGTTGCATTCCAAGTTTTCTGAGGAATCTCCAATACTGCTTTCCAGAGTGGTTGCACCAATTTGCAGTCCCATCAACAATGTATGAGTGCCTTTTCCCCCAAATCCTTGCCAACATTCATTGTTTTTTGTATTCTTGATAATCGCCATTCTGACAGGGTGTGATGGAATCATTATTAAATGATATATAAAACTATATATCATGCACAATGTGACGTTTTGAATGTGTGTAGCTGTGTGAAATGGCTGATTCAAGCTAATATACATCACAGTCTTATTGTTTTACGGTGAAAACACTTGAAGTTCAGCTTTAACAATTTAAGAATACACCACATTATGAACCATAGTTTCCATATTATACAATCGATCTCTGGAACTTATTTCTTCTTACTGAAACTTTATACTCTTTGACCAATATCTCTCCATCTCTATCACTACCCCCAGCTCCTGGTGTATAGCCACTATTCTCTTCTTTTGTAAGTTCAACATTTTTAGATTCCATGTGTCAGTGTGATCCTGGGGGTGTTGCTTACGTGTCTGCCTGGCTTACTCTACCTAGATCGATGACCTTCAGGCTCATCAGTTGTTGGAAGTGACCGGTTTCCTTTCTAAAGATGGAGTAGCATTTCAAAAGTGTATATCTACATTCTGTTCATCCAGAGGATGGAGTGGACTCCATTTCTGGGCTCCCATGGTTGATAGTGCAGTGTCTGTGCAAGCACCATGCCTATTGGGCCGGCCGACTGTTTCCATGGCTGTACCCTAGCAGCGGGATTGTTGGGCCTCCATGGTTCAGCATGGCTTCTCCCTGTGCTTTTCCATAAGGGCTGCTGCACTCAGTGAACTTTTCACCACCAGTGTGGAAGTGGGCCTTGCCTGAATGTCCTCACCAACTCTTAGCTTTGCCTCTTTCATATGGGCCATTCTCACAGGTGTGAAATGACAACTTGTTTAAATTTGCATTTCCCTGATGACCAAGGTGTTACCTTTTCACGTACCTGTTAGCCCCTTGTATGTGTTTTGAGAAATGTCTGCTCAGGTTCTTTGTCCTTTAGATGAAGCAGGTTTTCCTGGTGTTGAGTTCCTGGAATGACTTGGATGTTAAGACCTTATCAGGTGTGTGATTGGAAGATGTTTCCTCCCATTCTTCAGACTTCCTTCCTTATGGGCTTAATGTGTTCTTTCTTGTGGGTCAGTTAGCAGCAGCAGCCTCCTAGCTTACTGTCACAGGGGAGGGGAGGGTGCAGGCTGATAGGCCCTGCAGTTATAAACTTGCAAAGTGTCCAAAACTGGATAGAGGAGAAGGAGGACATTGTGGCTCCTGTGGTAGCATCTCACAGACGAGCAAGATGAAGTGCTGCTACTGGACTCCAGCAGGTCTTACCTCCAACAAACGCCCATCCTCAGGGATTTAGGGCAGCTGGAACTCCTTCATTTGCAGGGACAAGAAGCAGGGCACTCTGAGGCCAACCACTGTGCAGTAGGTGTGGGAGCTACCCCTTTATGTCAGAGCAGGAGGCTCTGGGCCATATAAACCCTCTACAAGACACCCCAATGAGAGGCACAGGAAGAGTCAGCATGATAAAGAAAGAGTGAGGAATTCAGGAAAAAAAAACATGATCTGCAAGAATGAGTGAATTGTTCTGCCTTGATTTAAATAATCTTTAAGGAGGAAAAAACTGCCAGCTATAAATGGGTTTCCTGAATTTTGAGGAAATGGTTAAGGTAGGAAAGAGTTTGGGGTAGCCTGTGGTCTTTTATGATTCTCTAGAGGCTCTTTAAAATTGAAGAAATGCCATAAAAAATAGTACAAGCCCTGCACCATGTATTAATAAATATTCAAGTTAATGGTCCCAGCTGATTGTTTCCCTAGAGCCATGATTCCACTCTCAGTAGGTAATTTTGGCCAGAGGCTGTGCACGTCAGAGGTACACATTTTTCCCTGCAAAAGCATTCCCCTCCCTCTGTTGATCCAACTGCATTAGTAAGGACTCCCTGGTTGGGAAGCCGGCATCCATCTCTGCAGAAGTGCGCTCTGGGGCAGCATCCCTAACAGTCCTGGAAGAGGGGGGCCCTGGTAAAGCTCAGGATAGGTAAGTGCCCAGCTCTCCCTGGAGGCTCACAGGGTGTTAATGTAACAGCTCGAGAAGCCCCGAGAGGGGGCCTGGAAGGTTCTAGGTAGAGGCCTAAGCACTGGGGTTGTCTTGTCTTTGGTGGGCAACAGCATTTATCTGGTATTGTGTTGTCAACTTCTGAGTGAATGACCTGGGTCCCATGCTAGACCCGCCATCCTCTGTGGGAAGCCCGATTCCTAGATCAGCTCAGTTCCATCTAGAAGCCCCTGCACACGCTTGCTTTGACCCACAGGTAAGCTATGAACACCTGATCAGAACAGGCATTTATTTCTCTTACAGGAAGGGTGAGGTGTTACCTTGGCTACCCACTTTTCTGGGCATTCTTTATCCAACTTTCTCTCATTTGTCACTTGACGCTTGTCTGCCATTGTTGCTTGCAGTTGGCAATGGCCCTGCTACCTGCTACGAGCTGCCCATCAGATGGACCTTCCTATACTTGTTTGGAGTGGACTTTAGACTCATGGATGCCAGGTCCTAGGCAGTGCTGCTGTGGAGCACCTAAAAGGTGGTTAGTAAAAGGATCGAACTTCCTTCATGTAAAGACATACATATAGTTATTGGAAAGTATGGTTGGATATAGGGAAGCAGTTGAAAAGTGTACAGTATTTCTGATGTTTACAATATAAGACTGCAACAGCTAAAATGTACTGGCTTTCGCAGGCTGAATATGAAGACAAAAACCTTGAATTTATTGTGAGTTTTAAAATTTAATAATTTGAAATTTTTAATTTAAAAGTTTGAAATTAAATTTTTTGATGGATCTTTAGTTTTTTATTTATATGTGGTGCTGAGAATTGAACCCAATGCCTCACACATGCTAGGCAAGCACTAACCACTGAGCCACAACCCCAGCCCCTATTATGTTGAAATTTTTGATGTACTAGATACATTTCATGTATTTGTGACATCCACTGTGAGTCACAGTTGCATAATGACCAAGTTATTCATGGCCTCTGCTGCAATCAGAGACCACTGCCTTCCCTGTGAGGGGCTCAGCCCCCAGCATAGGGTGTCAGATCTTGGCATGAAATGCAGCCGCGTCTCCTTGAGCATCTGGCCCTGTCAAGCTGAGCCTGTTCCTGGCGTGGGAAACTGGAGCCCCGGGAGCACCAGGTACCTTCAGCACCACATGGATTAAGAACAAATCCTGGAATTAGACTGAAGTTCAAGTTCCAGCTCAATTCTTTGTTGACCAAGTAATACTGGGTATCTATCCTAGAGTCTAGACAATGGGGATGAATGCCACCGATCAGGTGGTCTGAGACCCACATACCTTAGACACAGCACCAAGGATAGCTGCTGTCACAGGGAGACCAGGCAGTTGCCATTCCCCGCCTACCAGTGGTTTGAAGTGTGCGTGCCCTGGAGTATGACTAACAGCATCAGTTACTAGAAAGTTCCTCAAACAGGACACCAATCTTCACACATCCCGTTTCATCCCAGCCTAGGGCCTACCCGACTAGGAAGCCGCTGTCAGTTCTGGATTAAGCGACTAAGCCTCCTCTAGTTGCCCAATCCTCCTTTGTCATAACTCCAGATCCTGGTTTTCAAAGTCTATTGCTCAGAATGGGACCAGCAACAGCTGAGAAGTGGTTAGAAATGCAAGGCAAAACCTCCACCCAGATATCCTGCATCAAACTCCAGGGAGGGACCAGAAATGCTTTCCCCTCAGCCCTCCTGCGAACCTGGTGCTCACTTAAGTCGAGAACCAGTGGTGTAGGAAAATCCCTGGTAAACCGTGAACTAGTCCTACCCTCATTTGGTTGTTCTTGTCTAATGGAAGAGCTTTGTTCTATTCCCCTTTGAGTCTTTACAGCCTGTTAAGCCCCGAGATACTTGGTGCACGCACACACACACACACACACACACACACACACACACCCATCCCTTGAATTATCAGCCTTGAAATGCTATAAAAAATGATTGTTCTGTTCAGAAAGATACTCCTGTATCTGAGCCTTTCTCAGGTGAGACACCACCCCAGGCTGGTAGGATGAGATTAAGAGCAGTTAAGTAAAGAATTAGCCTAGAATTGGCCGATCAAGTGACAAGCTCAGCACATGTGGCAGGGCAGTCTGGCTTTATTTGACACATTGGGTCTGAGGAGCTCATCTCTGTCTCCTGATGGCCAAGTAGAATACCAACAAGGCTCCGACGACAAGGATGCCAGAAACTCCTGCCACCCACAGAGCCTTGGGATCTACTGGAGCACCTGGGGATGGAGAGGTAATCAGTGAGTGCCACAGGAGTCTGTCCTGACGAAGACCCACCATCGTCCTTGGTAAAGGGATGGCAGTGAGGGGATGGTCAGAGACAGGAGGGAGAGGAAGGAGCTCTCATCTGCAGGTTCAGGTGGCTGGTTAAGTGTCCTCCCACTCACTTAAGTGTATATTGGACTTTTCCAAAGGGTCCTTAGAGGCTTGGAGAAGAAACATGGGGCCATTGCTGGAGATGCTGGCAGTACTGTTCTGATGATAGAGGTCAGATCTTCTTCCTGTTGGAGACATGAGAGCCAGGAGCGTTAGAATTTTAATTTTTGTACACACGGAGCAGGGGTAGGGAGTGTTAGGACTCAAACCAAGGGGCCACAGGTAGAGCTCTTTACCAGCCTTACAAGGGCTTCACGTTAGCAACTTGTGCAGGTCTGAGGTTTTGGATCTAATGCTCTTGCCTCAGTTTCACCGAATCAGGGCATAGAAGTTCTGATGTTAGGAACACTTCTCAAATTATCCTTTTCCAGAAGTGTCACTGACAGTAACCCCTTTATAATTCAGTTGTCTTGATATCATAGGGAAGGGTATTTAACTGTTGAAATAGGAAGTAAGAGCAGAAATGCTTTAACCTGTCAGCTGAAGTCAATCTAAGGTGGTTTAGTCCTTTAGGAGTAGGACTAACTTACATCAGGTTGAATGGAAAGCACTTAACATAATGCCCTGCCCTGTAACTACCAGTTAGTTACTATGAGTGTTTCGTTTTTGTTTTCTGATTGCTAGAAGTGACTTAGAGCTTTAAGGGTTATGAATCCCAAGTCAAGAAGAGATAGGTACCAGATCATACCTGTGGAAGCAAGCACGCTACAGCAGCACAGGGTCTGCCCGACAGGGGATGGTGCAAGTTTACAATCATTCCGGCTAAGGGTCTTTAGACCACATCACCAGAAGTGCCCTCAGGTGGGCATAGAGATTGACATTTATTACCTGGCCAGGTGTGTTTTGTGGAGTTGAGCCAGGTGTGGGCCATGGACTGGTTTGCCTCCTAGTTTTAAAGCTCATTTGGGAAAGAGCTCAGGTTGAGAGTTTATTGCTTCTATTTTAAAGGGCCTGGCATTCCAGAAAGTTGGCCGCCTCTGGGTCATGATACTGCAATTGGTACCTAGAGGCTTTATTGATGAGAGTCCTAGCCATGGGCCAAGAACTGTTGGGAGTTGGGATCATGATCCATTTGTGTGTGTCCACTAGTATAGATGACATACTCACCCCTCACGACAGGACAGGTCACCATACAGGCTGGGGTCCCTGCAGGCTGGCACACTGACGCACTGCAGTGCAGGTACACCTGGAGGCCAACAGAACTCCGGTCATGGTGCAGTGCCACCGTGTCAGACATCTCAACCCACTTCATCTCCCCAGGAAGGATTCAGAGAGGTAGTTGTCAGCACAACTTGATAGGTCCCAGCTAATGTTACCACAGCCCTGAAGAACTAGGGCCCATGTGACAGCCACCATTCATGTCTCTGGTATCCAGGGCTGTTCAGGCAGGACTAGCAGGCAGCATCAAAGAGCCAGCCTGGCTGGGGAGGGCAGGATGGGGACAGTCCCAAGGTGAGGGGTCAGACCTGCCGAGTGGCATGGAAAGGAGCATCAAACCTGTCCCCCAAGAGCCTCCTTAGTCCTCGCAGAGTCCACGAAGCTGAAGGTGGAAATGCTGAAGCGCTGGCGGTGGGAGGGGAATGGCAGGCTGGGGACCTTCTGGACGGGCATCAGTCGGGTTCGGTAATTGTCTCCTGCATAGGGGCACCTGGACCAGGAGGCCAAGTGGTCAGGACAGGCTTCAGGGGACTAGTGCCTACATACAAGAGAACCACTTACCCTTTCACCAGTATGGGCCACTGAGGCTGCTGCTGGGGGCTGGGGCTGGGTGTGGCCCAGCACTGCCACAGGAGCAGCCCCAGGTTGGGGTCCGTCCTGTGCAGGATGGAGACCTCCACATGAATGGGCTCCCGGAGCAGCTTCACCACTGGGTAGTCCCAAGCAGCGTAGTAGGAGCCATAGTTCTCATCTGCAGAGCCAGAGTAAGGAGTTAGAGTGGTGCAGACAGACGGCTAGGAACCTGTAAGTCACAGCCTGTCACCCCCCTGAACACTGTGTAAACATCTTGTTACCACATTAGCCTTTCCAGGCCCAGAACTGCGAAGGGACTGGTTGCAGGACATATACTCCAGGCAGGAGGGTCTTACCCTTGGCAATCTGAAGTTCCAGAGTGAGGGCTCCCGGCTGGGCCTTAGCAAGGGGCGGTGGGAGAGGGAAAACCTGGACGTTAACGGGGAACGTGTTGCTGTTTATGGAGTAGCGGCAGCTGACTCGAAGCCTGAGTTAAAAAAAAAAAAAAAAAAAAATTTTGCTAGTTTGAGGGGCTGGCCATACCTCCCTTCATTTTAATTCCTAAAGGCCACCAGTAGTACTAGGGGCTGCACAAACTCAAGTGTGACAGACGTGGTTCCTACCCTGTGGGAGTTGTATTTTAGTCAGAGTGACCAGTATGTAAGAAGGACCAGTGCGAGTTGGAGGCAAGAATCATACAAGAAAACACCTTGAGGAGCAGGTGCCTACTGTAGAGAAGGTGGTCGGGGAACATCTTGACACGAGAGCAGAAGTGACAGTTGAGGGGTGCAGGAGGGAGAGGAACACCCGACTCAGAGCAAAGCTGGGGGTGGGAAAGTGCTTATGGCTCTTTGGAGCTCCCCTGAGGTTGGGGCACAGTGGGTCGGGGCCAAGTGTCAGAGGGCAAGTAGGAGGGTAGGGAAGTAGGAGTCATTTCCACCCAGGCTCAGAGTTATGGCCACGGTACCTTTACACTAAAAAAGACCAAGCTACTTAAAGCATGAGATATGGCTGAGGAAAGATCTCAAAGGGACACTCTTGGCTCCAACTTGGACAATGGAAGGGAAAAGTCTAACATGACATTAAAAATAGGAGCCCAGGTGAGGGCCGAGATCAAGTTGGTGCAGTGAGGCAGGTGGACTTTAATGGTCAACACAACTGGCAGAAAGAGGCACTGACCCTCTGCTGTTGATGAGGGTTCCTCTGTGGACTTGGGGCTCACCCTTGATCCATGTTATGAACCGAGGGAAGTCACTCTGGTCAGAGACCCTTAGGTAACTAAGACCTTACCTGAAGATGCTGTCGCGGGTGATAGAGCCATGGCCCCAGGTTCTCACATCCCGAGTGGCCACCAGCTCGTTCTCATACACCACCTGGTCCCCAGAAATCTGAGGAGAGGGTGAAGAGGAGTCTGTCATTTCCACCACTTCCCTGACCTAGTCCCTAGCCTGTGACACTTCCAGCCCTGAGCAGAGGCGGGAGCTCCTGGCAGTGACTGATCTGGAAGGCACAGCTCACTGCAGAATGGAGCAGTGGGAGGAGCCCGTTCCTCATTTCTCTTCTCAGTAGCTTGGATCACAGCCAGGATGGCATTACTGATGTCCAGGGGAAGCCTCAATCATCTCAGAGGCGTCTTTCTTCTGGCCCTAGAGACCATCCTGAACACCCGGAGTCAAGACTGTCCTTCCTGGCCAGGACATTCCAGCTGTCCCCTAGCATCACTCAATCATGGCCCTCGATTTCTAGAACCAGGAGAAGAACCCAAGGTGGCAGTTCTTACCCGTCTTGTGGTGCCACAGGAAGTAAACGGAAACCGGAACAGGAGAAAGGCATGAGTTGCGGTCACGGGGTTGCAGTCGCTGTCATTCCCGAAGGCCAAGTACACAGAATCCAAGCGCAGTGGAGGCGAGGCCAAATTCCGGGACACAGCGATGGAGAAGTGGCCCTCTTGGGTACACTGTGAGGTCACTGAAACACCGGAACAGCTGTGAGGGTTGGTTGTTACTCTCGTGA